AATTTATTAGATCACAAATGAAAAATATTAAATAATTTAATAATGAAATTATATATATTTGTGATTGTATTAAACCATCATAACATGTTATGAATCGCGCGATTTTATTATCATGTGTTTGCTGTTGATAAATGCATGAAAAAACTTATCAATTACATATATTTTAGATTAAAATAAAATTTGTTTAGTATATTTTCTTTTTATTAAAAATACATCATTTTCATATGTTTATAAAATAAAAGTCTTATTGATAATATATTTTATTGTTTAATATTTTTTATAATTTGTTTAGATCATAATAAAACTATTGAAAAATAAGAAATAAAATACAATACACAATCTTCGATATATTATAATATACATTTGATTATTATTTTATATTATGGTAATATAAGAAAAACATTAACATAAAAAAGAAAATTTTACTATTGTTATATGATAAAAAAATAATTTACAATTATTGTTAAGAATTTAATAGAAAAATATATAAAATTTAAAATATGATTTATTATTATTATTATATTTTATTTCAGTATTTAAATATAATTTTTTTTCTCGTTTATATTTCTTTAATCCGAATATTACCCATTTTTATTTACTATTATAAATTTGTATTTTATTTACTATTATATTTATGTATGCTTCGAGTGCATATAGTTATAATTTTGATGAAATTAATACAAATTAAAATACTCATTATCATATCTATAACTAAAGATCAAATTTTTATTATTGTTTTGATTTATTGAAATATTTATTGATCATACATAAATTATATTTTTTTTAGTTAGAAATCAATATTTCAATAAATTCTATTAGAATTTCTTATTTTATTCAAAGATCAACATCGGACGACAACGAGTTACGAATCACTTTTTATTTGCGAAGTCATTAGTTCTCACACTTACGACATTCACACATGTAACTATTTTATGTTGCATGCGTACATAATATATATATATTTTATCATATTAATTATAAATTAATGTTATAAAAGATGTATATACAACTTTAGAAACATAATATACAACTAAGACATAAATTTTTAGGATAATTTTTATAAAATTTTAAATTTATAAAAAAAAATAGATTAAAAGAATGAAAAAGATTGAAAGATTTCAAGATTAAATTTTTGACTTATTTTATATTTTATTCAAGATAAACATATGTATCTTAATATTCGTTATTAATTGAATAATTAGTCTTTGTCTACTTTAAATCGACGTGACCTTGACCATCAAGACAACACGTCGTTGCCTTCACTACCTGCTCAACAAGTAATATGAACTAGCAGAATATTTAAATAGCTGTTTCTTACTAATCTTAATTCAGTTTCTAATATGTCTTCGAGATTGATTGTAATTCGAAAAAAAGTATAAATGTATATATTAAAATTAAGTTAATTAAAAATATTCATCATTATTATTAAAACTATTAAATAAATAAACTTACCATAACATAAAATTTATAGAATAAAAAAGAAATTTAGTGTAATAAAAAAATAGGAATATTAACATAATTACGTAATCGTACATTGACAATATATCGTGTTTTTACAAGTTACATTTATACTTATTCCTTATAATTATATATAAAAATAGATAAAAAATAAAATTTTTATTGAAATAATTCTTAATAAATAATTTCCTTAAACATAAAATATAGGTTAAAATAAATACATAATTTAAAAAAAAGATCAAACAAGATTGAATATTTTTCATTAAGAAATAACAATAAGTGAAATAATCACATAATCATATAATAATCGTGTATTTTGAAACATATATATATATATTGAAAAAAAATATAATACGTTAAAAAGAAAAAGAAGAAATTTACAAATATCCTTGGATTTTTCAAGTATATTTATATTTCAAAATCATGTGTGTATCTTCCTGAGACTGTGAAATAGTCATCGCATCGATCGTCATAATTAGTCTGAGTCAAACAGTTGAACTGATCGGTAGGTTTTTGGCGGTCGTTTTAGTTTTCCATCGGATCACATTTCCGGGAAAAATTTTGGTTTTCTGCGATAAATATCATTCAAAAATTTATTACCATGATAAGTAAGTTTTTCTAAAAACGTGTTTATATTATTTTTTCTATTTTTTTTATTTTTTTTTATTATCAGTGCATTTTTTATGAAGTGTATTAAAATGTGATTTATAAAAAGATAAGTGATAAATAAAAAATTGTTTATACGATAAAAGAATTTTATATATTAAAAAAAAAACAAAACATAATACATGTTTAAAAAAAAATATTATTTATTTTTCAGTTTGTTATCTAGTTTTTTATTAATTTATCTCTTTCTCTGCAATATAAGCTACTACGTTTGAAATTTGTACTTTAACTGAAATCTTTAATTAAGATTATATAAAAAAATTTTATGCGTAATTTATATTGAATTTTTAAAATATTTAGTTTTTTATTGTTTAATGTGATAGTTTTTTCTTCATTTTGTTTTTTAATATTTTTATCAATGTAACTAATAACATTTTAAATTTTAATAGTAATTATAGTAATACATTCGGGCATTTTTTATATTATACTTGATAATACCTTTGACGATATGAATAATTTTTTGTTATATAAGATTTGTGGAAACTAGTTTGAATAATAAATGCATATTGCTAAATACACACATTCGGTATAAATTTTTTATATTTAATGACATCAATACAATGTTAAATTTAATTTAATATTGCATTTTTATCTTTTTATTTATTCGCGTTTCTTTTAATATTTGATTAAATCAAGAAATTTAAAAAAAAAAATAAAAATATCTTTTATATGATTCTTTATATGAATATGATGAATTTCGATTGCTTGATTTTTTTCTATTATCTTAAATCTTTGTTATATAATTACTTTAACATGTTCAATAACTTATCGTATGATTTATTTTAAACTTATCTAAGATTTAAAAGATTTAAAAAAGGAAAAGATTAAAGATTTAAAAATATTTGAAGAAAGATAAAGAGATTTTATTTGATAAAATTTAAAAAAAACAAGATAGTTTTCTTTTAAAATCGAGTAGTGTAGATGTACAACGTAGTTTGTAATTAAAATTCATTTAAATTTCTATTTATGTATTTAATTGATTAATTCATGATAGGAAATACATCAATTTCTATTCAACGAATCATTCGAAAGTGACTTTGTACTTTCAATTTTATTCTTCATTCGTAAATTTATATATTATAATATTCGTAATTTTTCTATATTTATATTTATATATATATATATTATATATATTTTTTGAATTCAATCTTATGCGATTCTCAAATTCATTTTTTTCCTTTTTATAAAATTAGATTAAAAATTTCACTAGAAAAGATTTTTCTTTTATTATTTTATCTTGAAAATAAATATTTCTCTAGTTAAATTTAATGTTTCTTATTAAAGATGCGTTATTAAATGTGCAAAGTTCAAATTAATTTTCACACGTTTAAATTCGTTGAGTATAAATAATATAAAATAAGCAAATAATAATTTTCTAAATTATTTTAATATGAATAATTTTAAAATAATCCTTTTGTGTCTTAGAAACGTCCACTGAAGAGAGTTTGCACTTCATCAGACAGTCGCTGAAATCGAAAGAAATGGATCATCTCGAAGGAATTCATTTTGATCGAAATTATCCTCATGTGTTTGTAACACTTGGAGCTTCTGTATGTAAAATTTTATTTTATTTTTTTTTTCCTATAACTATTTTTTTTTCCTATAACTATTTTTTTTTCCTATAACTATCAAAATCAAATGTTAAATAGCTTTAATCGATAAATTTAATCGATAAATCTTTAGGGTGACTTAGCAAAGAAAAAAATCTATCCAACGCTATGGTGGTTGTTTAGGGATAATCTTTTACCAAAAACTACCACATTCTTTGGTTACGCACGTACAAATATGTCTGTGAACCAATTACGAGCAAAATGTCATCCATATATGAAAGTAAAATCGGATGAAGAGAAAAAGTATGAAGAATTTTGGAAATTGAATTATTATGTGGCTGGTCAATATGATTCACAAAAAGGATTCGAAATGTTGAACAATGAATTGAAGAAATACGAGGAAGGCTACAATATTACTAATAGACTATTTTATTTGGCCTTACCACCGAATGTATTTGAAAATGTAACTGTGCACATTAGAAATGTTTGTATGAGTGATAAGTAAGTATTATTACATATTTTAAAATTGTCTTAAAATTTATATTAAGATTAACATCATATATATTAGGTATATTATTTTTTAAAGAGGATGGACTAGAGTAATTATAGAAAAACCATTCGGTCGCGACGCGGCTACATCACAGATTTTGTCCGATCATCTCGCATCCTTATTCAGAGAAGATCAGATTTATCGTATCGATCATTATTTGGGGAAAGAAATGGTTCAAAATTTAATGACTCTACGATTTGGTAATCGAATATTCAGTCCAACATGGAATAGAGATAATGTGGCCTCTGTACAAATTACATTTAAAGAACCATTTGGTACGCAAGGAAGAGGCGGCTATTTCGATGAATTTGGTATCATTAGGGACGTCATGCAGAATCATTTATTACAAATTTTGTCATTGGTTGCGATGGAGAAACCAGCGTCTTGTCATCCGGATGATATACGAGATGAAAAGGTAAAAGTGTTAAAGTGCATAAAGACTTTGACGCTGGACGATGTTGTATTAGGTCAATATATTGGTGATCCTGAATCGGATGATCCTGATGCTCGACTTGGCTATTTGGATGATGCTACTGTACCTTCCGGTTCAATTACGCCCACATATTCCCTTGCTGTGTTGAAAATTAATAATGAGCGGTGGGATGGTGTTCCGTTTATCCTCAAATGTGGAAAAGGTAAAATAGATATATTAATATATAAAAAATAGTTCTTAATATATATAACTAATTTTATCAATAATATTATTAATAATAATAATATGGAATATACAAGCATATTATTCTCAGCTTTAAACGAACGAAAGGCAGAAGTTAGAATACAATATCAGGATGTTCCTGGCGATATATTTGATGGAAAAGCGAAAAGAAATGAATTGGTAATTAGAGTACAACCAGGTGAAGCATTATATATTAAAATGATGACGAAATCACCTGGTATTACATTCGATATGGAAGAAACAGAATTAGATCTTACATATGGTTCTAGATATAAGGCAAGTTTAGAAATATTTATGTTTAAGAGTATTTATGAAATTTAGGAATATTATGTTAACACATTAATTATATAGGATCTAAAACTTCCGGATGCATATGAACGATTAATTTTGGATGTATTTTGTGGCTCGCAAATGCATTTCGTACGTAATGATGAACTTTCGCAAGCATGGAGAATTTTTACGCCCTTGCTTCATCAAATAGAAAACGAAAGAATTAAACCAATTCCCTATAAGTAAGTTACATTTTTAACAATTATTTTTATTTTTTATTTTTTCAAATAATATGTTCTATTAAAAATTTAGATATGGTTCACGAGGACCCAAAGAAGCAGATGAAATGGCAAAAGAAAATAATTTCGCTTATTATGGTTCATACAAATGGGTGAAACCATAAATAAAATTTTTGTTATGTAATAATGTACAATTCTGTATATATATATATATACAGAATATATATAGAATATATACAGAATATATATAGAATATATATGTGTGTATATATATATATATATATATATATATATATATATACACACAGAATTAT